GAGACAGACAGTGACATATGTCTGCTTCAGAAAATTGAAGAGAAAGCGACTATGAATATGTGGGGGGGGAACAGCTGTTTGCTTCAGAAAATTGAAGAATATATCGGATATATATTTTTTTTTACTCAGTCAATGTGACTTCAATTTACCGCTTCTCCCTCCGTAGAACTCCCATATAAAAAGGTGTCTACTGGGGAAGAAATAAAAGCTAAGATTCGAAATAATTGGCTCCAACATACAGCTATTTTGAAGGCTCGGAGACACAGAGCTATGCTAGTCTCCTGGGTTATACTTGTGTGGACTTATACATGGGTGTAGGTGTGTGTGTGTGTTTGTGTATGTATGTATGAACGTGCTTGTGCAGTTTAAGTGTATAAATATGTGTGTGGGAGTTTGTTTGTGTATGCTTGTATGTACGTGCTTGTGCAGTTTATGTGTGCCTGTTTGCGTGTAAGGGTATGTGTAAATATATATGTGTGTGCGTGTGTGTGTGTGTGCGTATGTGTATATGCGTGTGTGTATATGCATGTGTGTGTATGTGTATATGCGTGTGTGCGTGTATGTGTGTGTACATATATGTATGTGTGTGTGTGGCATGCATGTGTAAGGATTTGTATGTGTCTGTGTGTAAATATATGTATGGATGTGTTTCGAGTGTACTGTTCGCATCTAAAATAGGCCTTTACACTCACCATCCCTTTTTCCGATACTAAACTCCCTTGTTCTCTGCATCGTCAGTACAGTGATTTACAAGATTAAGGTTACTGTATTAAGTAAATTAATAGATGAATAGATGATAAATAAGCCCCAAAAAATAAAACAAAAATAATGAATCAGAACGAATAAACATGTCGATAATATAAAAATCACGTTTATAGCTGAACCAAAAATGTTAATGTTTGTTAATGGTGGTAAATAAACACCTTTTTTTGGTTAATGTAAACAACTGTAAATCACAGAAGATGGGAACGATTTAGTAAACAAACACTAAACTTACTATTTATATATAAAATTCCGTATCTGTTGATATATCTGCTAACATTCTATTTTATAAAACCAAAATATCTCATAGTCAGTGACGAAGATAAGAACGACAAATTTTGATTTTTTTTAAAAGTTAATCTCAGAAATAGTAAATTCTATCTACTCTCTTCTTTCCATTATTTAACAAGAATTTAAAAAAAATCAAACGCGGTAATATATATAGCGTTGGTTTTAGGGGAAACTTCAGAATTCCTTCTAAAACGTCCGTGCAGACCCGTACATTCACATTCATATATAACCTATTTTTTGATTAATTACAAGAATATCACTACGTATATTTATTTATTCATTTGTTCTTTTTTTATTATCATTATTCCCGAAGCTCGTTTATTATGAAAGCACCAACATTTTTTTTTTTGGTTCGTGGACATCCAGTATCAGAAAACGGGAAATTTAACCGAACTGCCTTTTTACATTACAACCAAACTTTTTAAGGCTTCAAAAGGAGATTAGATAAATCCCTCCACCTACGACTAATCCAGAGATAAATCCTTAATCCCTGTCGCCACGTAATCGTCGGGAAATTGCTGCAGAGGATTAGCTAATCTCTCCTGAAGTTCAGAAGATCAGGGCCACTTCCGGGATCTGAAGTTACGGTTGGGGGTTGCGGGTGGGGGGTGGGGGAGGCGGGAGGGGTTACAGGTATTTGAAAAATAAGTTCTATATGAGGTTTAATAGGGTTAAACCTTTAATCTTTTTTATTTACCATGTTCCTGTGTACCCTCATTAATTTTGATAAGCTTTGATTTTTTTTTACTTTACTTATATAAAAAAAAATATAATATCAATCAGACGAAGAGATTGACAGACACACGATTCCTCCTCCCCCCTCCCCCTCCAGCCTCCCCCCTCCCCCACCCCCCTGGATCCAGCTCTGCCACTGGTATACGAATAAATCCACACACGCCCCGTCGTCCATCCCTGAAAGAATCCACAAAACTTCTGATCCTAATCTTTCCCCAATCCTTTCGCTTCACAATCATCACCTAGCCTTATTCTCACCTTCTAAATTGTAATAAGTCTAAACCTTCTGCCGGGAGATTATATGGAAAATATATCACTAAGTATGAGAGTAATATAACAACTTCAACTACGGTATATATGGTTCAGATTGGCTGATAGATATAACTGGTTAGCTTTTTTTTTTTAAATAGAGTTAATACTTTAGCTACATTTAGTGTGGTTATGTACAGTGTAGGGTCGTGTTGGAACACATCACAAACCCTTTTGAAAAAAAAAAACTTCAACTTTTGTCCTCGAGGATATGATTAAAAATAGAAAAAAATGTGGTACAATTACAACTAGATTATTCAACAGTGAAGATTCAGTAAAAATACTTTCAAGATATTCCAAAGAGAAAAGTCAACAAGAGAGAGAGATAAAAAAAAAAACTTCCACCCTTAAGGAACTCGTCTTAAACTGGAAGATAAAATCCTATGCTTAAAAACGTCTCACAGTTAAACCTGAGTTGTGGAAACACCGGCATTTGATCGATTAGATAACCATGGCATATGTATATACTTATAAAGAAAATTCATCAATCAGATTGGTGGAAGAAATGCCTTTTGATAACTCTATACGTCTCAAGTGTTCCCGTTAAGCCTGTTTCGACCGGAGAATGTCGGCATCCCCGTCCTAGGCTTTTGTACTGGGCGTATAAACCTGGCCTTAAATCGTCTCGTTTTCTCCCCAGATTGTCATTACGTCCTAAGATTAAACGATATGAACATCACGCTTGGAGGATGCGAGCGTAGGATTCATGAGGGCTTCATCACAGATCCGAGAAGATCCTGTCGTTGGTAGTTGCGGTGAGGGAGAGAGAGAGGGACCTGCGGAAGGTTTCGGAAGGGGTGGGTAGGGGGGGGAAGGGTGCAGGAGGTGGGAGGTAGGAGAGGGTGTGTTCCAGAGGGGTTCTTATATGAGGATTGGGAGGGTGGGGATTAGGGATTGGATCGGAAGGCGGGAAGGAAGGAGAGAGTCGGATGGAGGTCGCATGGAAGCAGGAAGTGGAGTTTTGTAATTCAAGGAGTTGATTGTTAGAGGAAGGGGATGGAGCCGTCCAGAGGGTGCAAGTCCAGACAGCTGTGGTGGCCGGGGTGCGGGCACGGCGCCCACCCCGGTCTCTCGATGTTGTTCCATCGCCAGTGCGCTTCGTGGCGATAGAGGTTGTCGCCGTAATGGTGGAGAGCCTTCTTGCCCGGGTTCCAGGGTCCGGGCAGCCAGTTGGACCCGACACGCAGCATGGAGATGAGGTAGCAGGACGGAGAGACATGCTTTGTGCTCAAGGTCTGGTTCTGGATCAAGGCCTTGGCCATCCGGATGGACATGGGCGCGTGGCCATGCTCGAAGCACACCAGGTTGTCGGGGAATTTGGCCAGGACCTCGGGGGTCCCCAGGGAGGGCATGGTCTGCACCCCCCACAGGTCAAGGGAGAAGCCCCCGAGGCTGCTGGCGGTGATGTAGTTGCTGACGATGGACGCGTTGGCGCGCCCCACCTGCTTGCTGAACCTCGGGGACAGGCCGAGGCGCCTCATGCGCTGCGTGTTCCTGCGCAGTTTCTCGACGTCGGCGTTGCGGTAGTGCGCGTCGTCGTCGAAGTCCCACGGGATGCCGTCCTTGAACTTGACGGCGCCCAGGAGCGTGCCGGAGCTGATCTCGTACGGGACGTGGTTCTCCTTGGCGACGATGTCGATCGTGTTGAACATCTTGTTCTTGGCCTTGAGGCAGCACGGCGGCAGCAGGTAGTAGCGCACCTTGAAGTACGCGTTGCAGTCGTAGTGGAACTCCCGGCACGTGTACTCGATGCTCGTGCCGTTGCTGAAGGTGACCACGTTCAGCTCCCACTTCTGCGCCAGCTTGCGGTACTGCCTCTTCACGGCCCACGCCTGCGCCCGCGCCTGCTTGCGGTCCTCCTTCGTCAGACAGTTCCGGTCCACCTCCCTGTGGATCTCCCGCTGCCGGATGGTCCTGCCGCTGTGGAACATGACGTCGGGGCAGGTCATGGCCAGGACGCCTCTCCGCTGCAGCCTCAGGGCCCAGTCGATCGCCTGCGCCCTGTGGGGGAGGTTCAGGTCGAAGGGCAGTTCCCGCACAACCCTGGTGGACGCCAGGAAGGACGAAGAGGTCACGTCGCAGAAGACACATGCGGCCCGGGAGAAGTCGTAGCCGTCCTGCAGCGTGAGGCGGTAGTTCCTCGTCGTGAGTTTCGTGCAGACGTAGTCCCACGACCCGTCGCGCCCGCGCTCAGCCCCGCCCACGACCTCCACGCCCAGATTGCGAAGGCCGATCGCCACCGAGAGGAGGCGCAGCAGGTCCAGGTCCTCCGTGATGCCCGTGACGCCGTCCAGCACCAGCACGAAGGGCGTGGTGGCCGACTCCGCCAGCGCCGACAGGTCTCCTCGACGCCACTTCTCGCACGCGGTCTGCAGGAGGAGAGGGGTCACACGCGCGAAAAATCAAACAAGAAAAAGAATGAAATAAAGGAGAAAACTGAAGAACAAAAACGAAACAAGAAATAGACGAGGGACAATTTGTACTGACGAAAAAATACCAAACTTCTAAGGCGTGAAATTTGGAGGATTTTTTTTCTTTTACTAATTATTATAATCATTAGTCATAGTGAAAGTAATGATAATAGCAATAATAGTGACAATACTAGCTGTTCCTGGAACGCAATTATAATATCAAGTTGCATGATGATGATAATAATAATAATAATAATGATAATAACAATAATAACAATAACAATAATAATAATAATAATAATAATAATAATAATAATAATGATAATAACAATAATAACAATAACAATAATAATAATAATAATAATAATGATAATAACAATAATAACAATAACAATAATAATAATAATGTTAATAATAATAATGATAATAATGATAATAGTAATGATAATGATAATAATGATAGTGATAATAGAATGAGCGAGCGAGAGAAAGAGAAGGAATGAAAGAAAGAGAGAGGGAGAGAGAGAGAGAGAGAGAGAGAGAGAGAGAGAGAGAGAGAGAGAGAGAGAGAGAGAGAGAGAGAGAGAGAGAAAGAGAAAGAAAGTGGGAAGGAGAGAAACCCGCGCCCCTCACCAACATGACGGTGACGTCCGCGAGGTTCTCGATCTCGTCCGCCTCCTCGCCCTGCCTCTCCTCGTCCACGCCCACCACCACGCCCATCCCCGGCCACGCTGCCTTGGCCTGGCGCACCACCAGAGTCACGAGGCCGGAGGGCGAGCCACAGCCATCGAGGAGGACCGTGACCTGACTCTTGAGGGAGGGCAGGGTGTCGCTTCCCTCGACGTCGATGCCCAGGTCGGCCGCCCCCGGGAGAGGCTTCTGCAGGAAGTCGTCGGCGTAGGAAGGGATGACGGAGGAATCCGCTTGGTTGCGCCTGCCCGCCTCCTCCTCTCGATCGTGCGTCTCTTCCTCGTTCTTATTCCACTTCTCTTCCTCTCGGTGTCCTCTTTCTCCCCTTTCGCTCTGGCCCTTCCCTCCTTCTCTCTCCCCTCCTCTCCTGACGGTGCCGTTCGTCTCTAAGGAAAGAACAGCGTCGCCGTGGCTTCCTTTAGTATCCATGGCGATGCGTCCTTCTATTCCCTTTCGCCCCTCTCCCCCTTCCTTCCCTTTCTCTACTCCTCCTTCGCTTCTCCCTCCCCCTCCTGCCCCCCCTGTTCCTCCTCCTCCTCTCCCCTCCCTCAGCAGGTCGTAATGCCCCAGGTCCTGGCTCTGGTACTTCCACAGGTCCCAGCCGGGGGGGCTCTCGTCGCCGTGCGTGGTGGAGGGGGCGGTGGACTGTCCCGGCAGAGGCGAGGGGGTGAATCCAGGCCGGGGGGGCGGGGGGCCCTGAATCCTGGGGATGAAGCGGGAGTCGAGCAGGGCCGCCGTGGCTTCCAGGTCCTCCACCACCGACACCGAGTGACCTGACCCTGAAAAGGAAACAAGGCTACTCAGAAACGTACTGTCTAAGAATACTACTCATAAATATCTTCATAATAAGCATAACTCCCGCCCCCCCCCCCATTAAATGCAACAAAACAATAACGGTATTAACGAGGTTCCACCAGAGCTAAAAACACAACAAAACAACAACTTTCCGAGTTTTAGCATCAAGTGTAACAAATACAGCAATAAAAAAACCTTTAAAGCGCTATCACAACAACAACCACAACAAATACTAAAATACAGCAAAGACTCCTTTAAATTATATCATTACAAATACAAAAATACAACAAAAATCCTTTGACTACTTCCACAACAAATACAAAAATACAACGAAGATTCATTGAACCAACAACAAAGGTTCCTTTAAGCTCCATCACAACAAATACAAAAATACAACAAAACTCCCTTGACTTCTATCACAACAAATACAACAACAATAACTCCTTTAAACCTCTATCACGATAAATACAACAACAACTCCTTAAAGCCTCTATCACAACCAATACAACAACAACCCCTTTAAACTTCCATCACAACAAAGACAACAACAACAACCCCTTTAAACCTCCATCACAACAAAGACAACAACAACAACGCCTTTAAACCTCCATCACAACAAATACAACAACAACAACCCCTTTAAACCTCCATCACAACAAAGACAACAACAACAACCCCTTTAAACCTCCATCACAACAAAGACAACAACAACAACCCCTTTAAACTTCCATCACAACAAACACAACAAGAACAACAACAACCCCTTTAAACCTCCATCACAACAAACACAACAAGAACAACAACAACCCCTTTAAACCTCCATCACAACAAACACAACCACAACAACCCCTTCAAACCTCCATCACAACAAATACAACAACAACCCCTTTAAACCTCCATCACAACAAATACAACAACAACCCCTTCAAACCTCCATCACAACAAATACAACAACAACAACCCCTTTAAACTTCCATCACAACAAACACAACAAGAACAACAACAACCCCTTTAAACCTCCATCACAACAAAGACAACAACAACAACCCCTTTAAACCTCCATCAAAACAAATACAACAACAAAACCCCCTTTAAACCTCCATCACAACAAACACAACAACAAAACCCCCTTTAAACATCACAACAAATACAACAACAAAACCCCCTTTAAACCTCCATCACAACAAACACAACAACAAAACCCCTTTAAACCTCCATCACAACAAACACAACAACAAAACCCCCTTTAAACCTCCATCACAACAAACACAACAACAAAACCCCCTTTAAACCTCCATCACAACAAACACAACAACAAACCCCCTTAAACCTCCATCACAACAAACACAACAACAAACCCCCTTTAAACCTCCATCACAACAAACACAACAACAAACCCCCTTTAAACCTCCATCACAACAAACACAACAACAAAACCCCCTTTAAACCTCCATCACAACAAACACAACAACAAAACCCCTTTAAACCTCCATCACAACAAACACAACAACAAAACCCCCTTTAAACCTCCATCACAACAAACACAACAACAAAACCCCCTTTAAACCTCCATCACAACAAACACAACAACAAAACCCCCTTTAAACCTCCATCACAACAAACACAACAACAAAACCCCCTTTAAACCTCCATCACAACAAACACAACAACAAAACCCCCTTTAAACCTCCATCACAACAAACACAACAACAAAACCCCCTTTAAACCTCCATCACAACAAACACAACAACAAAAACCCCTTTAAACATCACAACAAACACAACAACAAAAACCCCTTTAAACATCACAACAAATACAACCACAACCACAGCCACAACTCACTCAGATCCGACGCCACCTTGATGAGGCGAGCAGCGACGTCCCTCCTCAGCTGAACGATGGCGTCCGGCCCCTTAGGCTCCTTACGGCCGCCCGAGCACGCCCACAGCCCGCCCACGCAGATGCCTGGAGGAGAGAGAGGAATTAAGGTTTAGAATCTTCATTCTTCAGATTATCTTTTCTTTATTATCTTTTTTTTTTCCTTGTTATCTTATTTTGTGTGGGAGTCGTTTATATAATATTACGACCACAGAACGCCCACGTAGATTCCTGGAGGAGATAGAAAATGGGCTTTAAGATCTTCATCCTTAGATTACCTTTGTTTCATTTATTTGTTTGTCTTTTTAGGGGTGCATATTCATCTCTTCATATATATATATATATATATATATATATATATATATATATATATATATATATATATATATATATATATATATATATATATATTTATATGATAATCACTGAAACAAATAAAATGGAGTTGATGAAAACAAGAAAACTAAACACAGTAAACACAGCCAAACAACAAATTGTACTTTTGTGTTGCAATAATCTTAACGACTGTAAATAAAATACGGTCTTAAAAACTAAATCATCAAAATAAATTTAATTTCATGAAAGACAGAGAACAGAACATAACAATAATTATACGGTTGTGTTGTAAACAAAAAAATAAAAGTAATTTGATCTTAACGACGATAAAAAGGACATGATCTTTAAAGAAAATAATTTATATAATAAGGGGAGGAAGGTATTTTATTACATGTTATGATTGACGATAAGGTTATGATAAGAAGGTAACTTTGATATATTTTCCATCACTTGTTTTTTTTTTCTAATTTCTTTCTCGTTCTTTCTCTTTCTATCTCTATGTCTGTCTCTCTGTCTTCGTCTCTCTCTGTCTCTGTCTTTTTCTCTGTTTTTTTCTGTCTGCTTGTCTGTCTGTCTGTCTGTCTCTTTGTCTCTCTCTGTTTCTTTCCGTCCGTCTGTCTGTCTGCCTACCTGCCTGTCTATCTATCTGTCTATCGGTCTGTCTATCTGTCTATCTGTCTATCTGTCTGTCTGTCTGTCTATCTGTCTGTCTCTCTCTCATTTTTCATATCCCTCTGTGTTTGCTTTGTTCATAGTGTGTGTGAGAGAGAGACGTATAGCATGTTTGTGTTCACGATAGGTTTGCCTTTTATGCTTGGACAGACACGGGTATCAGCACGCACTTGGGTGTGTCTGAGTGTGTTTTATAGTGTTTTTGTATGTGTTTTTTTGTGTCTTTTTTATTTCGTGCCTAAGTCTAAACCACCAGAACTTTGATTTATAAAAATGAATATGCGACGTGACGAAAATATAAATTTATGTTCTGAAAAATGGGACAGTGAGAGTTATATTTGCAAGGATAATGTTTATATACGAGGTTGGTGTATAAGATATACATTTACGAAGAGACAGATGAAGAAATACGTAATTTGCAACTTGTAAACTAACTTCCACTCTTTTCTCGAGGATTACAATACCTATAAATTTATTCACGAGTTTGAAGAAGTTTAAATGAAACTCCTATGCAAATCAGAATACATTTTATACAGGAGGTGTACAGGTTCAACTTCACGTATGTATTCTAGATTGTTATAGAAAGAATAAACAAATAAATAAATATAAACCTCTTACGCTAACCATTACCGTAAACTTAGTAAAAATAAGCCTCTGTTAAGATAAAAAACAAACCTTATTCAAATCTCCACAAAATAATGCAGATAACGCCTCTTTACAACAAGAGTTAAAAAAAGTAAAAAAAAGAAAGAAAAAAAGCGAAAGACAGAAAACGTTGAGACGAAAATAAACCGTCTTTTTCACGCATAGAAATTCGATTTAAACGCAAACTTACCCCTGTTTTTTTCTTCTATGGAATACATATACGAACTGGAATAGGAAAGACAAAAGACAAGAAAGGAAGAGAGAGAACACTGACACACGAGCGTAAAATGACAAAATGATAATGATGGAAATAAAAATAGTGATGGTGATGACAATGATAATAATAATAATAATAATAATAATAATAATAATAATAATAATAACAATAATAATAATAACAATAATGATAATAATAACAATAATAATAATAATGATAATAATAATAATGACAATAACAACAACAACAATAAAAACAACAACAGCAACAACAATTACAAAAACAACATTAACAATAACAACAACAACAATAACAATAACAATAACAATAACAATAACAATAACAATAACAATAACAATAACAATAACAATAACAATAACAATAACAATAACAATAACAATAACAATAACAATAACAATAACAATAACAATAACAATAACAATAACAATAACAATAACAATAACAATAACAATAACAATAACAATAACAATAACAATAACAATAACAATAACAATAACAATAACAATAACAATAACAATAACAATAACAATAACAATAACAATAACAATAACAATAACAATAACAATAACAATAACAATAACAATAACGATAACAGTAACAATAACAATAACAATAACAATAACAATAACAATAACAATAACAATAACAATAACAATAACAATAACAATAAGAATAAGAATAACAATAACAATAACAATAACAATAACAATAACAATAACAACAACAACAACAATAAAAACAACAACAGCAACAACAATTACAAAAACAACATTAACAATAACAACAACAAAATAATGATAATGATAATAATAGTAATGATAATAATAATAATAATAATGATAATAATAACAATAATAATAATAACAATAATAATAATAATAATAATATCAACAACAACAATAATCTTAAAATAAAAGGATAATAAAGGATATGAAAATCCTTACACTGACAAAAAGATAAAAAAAAAAAAACACTAACACAAACGTAATATAAACGTCTGTAGAAGCTGCGTTACCGTCCGGCCCTAACATTTACACAAGGCATGATAAAACGTTTCTTGTAACACTAGGGTACAAGCAGGACGGGGGTGGGTGGTGGGGGGGGAGGGAGGGGGGGGAGGTTATGGGAGAAGGGGAGAGAGTGGGGAGAAGGGAGGTGGGGGAGGTTATGGGAGAAGGGGAGAGAGTGGGGAGAAGGGAGGTGGGGGAGGTTATGGGGAAGGGGAGAGAGTGAGGAGAAGGGGGGAAGAGGGAGGAGAGGAGGAGGGGAGAAGGGGGAAAGAGGGAGGAGGGAGGAGGGGAGGAGAGAGAGAGATGGGAAGAGAGAGGATGTAGGAAGGAGAGGGAAAAGGAGGAAGAGAGACGTAGGAAGAGGGTGGAGGATGGAAGAAGGAGGAGGGAAAAGGGGAGAAGGGTGGAAAAGGGAAGAAGAGAGAGAGGGAAGAAGAAAGAGGGACAGGGGGAGAAGGGAGGAGTGGGGATCCGGGGAGAAAGGGGAAAGGGCAATGGGGAAAATAGGAAGAGGAGAGAGGGGAGAAGGAAGAAGAGGGAATGAAGGAGAGAGGCGAAGAAAGAAGAGAGGATAGGGAAGACAAGAGGACAAAAGGAGAGTGAACCGAGGAGAACAAAAGAGGAAGATAATCACGGGAAGAAGGACAAAAGAACGAATCGGGGAGAGAGAGAGATAGAGAGAGAATCCAGGGAGATGGACGAAAGAGGGAACCAGGGAGAAGAAGCGAGAAGAAGGAGAAACCAGAGAAGGGAGGAAAAGGAAAATTCAAAGAGGAGAGATCAGTCCTTTACAAAAAACGCGTTCTATTTCCGCCACAGTGTCTGCCAGAGAGCGCGGGCGAAGGACAGGCAAAAAGCAAGACGACTGAGGACATACTCAACAATTTTCTTGCTCGTTAATGGCTCTTAACAATGTCATGAAGAAAAAAGAAAGGGGAATAAAAGGTACAGATGGATGAAGATTCTGTTGCTATGTCGGAAGGTAAGAGTTCTAAGAGAAAGAAAAAATATAAAAAGAAAAAAATAGTTAAACACGAGTTTATAAAAAAAAAGATTTTCCAAAGTTCCAGACGAAGTAGGAGTGGATGAAAGAGGGAAGAAAGGAAAAAAGAAAACAAAATTTTTATGATGCAGGCACAGAGGTACAGGACGTAGACTGTAGTTGAAATAGACCGCAACTTTTCGCTTTGGAATAACCGAATTAGTGAAACGTGGGTTGTTACATCCGTAGAGTAAAAACCAGAAATTATACCTTTTCCCTATTCCGAGCAATATATAACAACCTTAAATGACTTCGATCAATGTCTGACATCTTTTCAGATTCAGTTATTGATAGTTACGAAAAGTGTAATATCCAATATCAAGAGGACAAGAACACTATATGGAAAGATCCCAATGATATGCGAGAGATAATTATCTGCAAATACTGAAGGTGAGAAAAAAAATCCAGTTTAATCCATGATTTTCATATTGTTCCATCCCCCTCCCCCCATCAAAAGTATCCCTTGCCCCCCCCCTACACGAACGATAATCACCCGTCATATTCAGTCATTCTATTCATAAGAACGAAGTCAAACAAAATCTCTATGAACAACAAACATCCTCATAAAATATATATATATATATATATATATATATATATATATATATATATATATATATATATATATATAAATAAAAAGGAACATTATTAGTTTCTTCTCTTATCTAATCTCCCTTCCCTTTCACTAGACTTCAGAATACCCCTTTTCACTAATAAAAAAAATCTAAAGAAAAGGGTAGGGAGGAGGACCTTGTAAACGACGACAGCGGAGACCGATAAGTGCGGTCGGTGAAGGATAATACGACGCGTTTTATAGCTTTCGAATCGTGTGTCTGTCGGGGTGATAATTCATTCGCTGGTTTGTAACATCCCGGAAATGGGCGGTTTTGGCGGCGGGGGTTCACGCACATGCAGACACGGACACATACACGTAGGTACACACACCCATACGGACTTACATTCACGCATTTGCGCACATACACATATGCAGACATACGCACGCACGCATACACAACCATATGGACTTCACGCACATGAGCACATACACACTCATACAAACACACACACACACACACACAAACATAGGCATCTACTTAAACTTACACACATACACACTCACAAACACATGTATGCATATGGTTGTCTCTTAGTTTGTGTTTGCATGTACACTGAACATGTCTGCTAACTTGCGTACATATATGTATTTATGAATATATGTATAAACAAAAACATAAAACACACACCAACAAACAAACAGCAAAAACAACACACCTAACGAGCCAAAAAAATAAAAGAAATGCAAAAGACGAAAAAAAAAGAAAAA